CCACCACCACGCAAAATGGAGCCGAGTGCCACTGTCAAAAAGTTGGCGATGACGCTGGCGACAGAACCGGTCGAGCAGGCGAAGCACGGAGGACGAAAGGCAAAAACACACGCTAGACGCAAATCCCGGCATCTTCCATGCATCACACCCCCCCTCTCGCCTCGTGGCCGTCAACCAGCGATCGATAAGAGCCCAACCACTCCTTAGCCACAAATATAGGAGACGTGACCAAAATATCGTCACTCTTGACGGTATGCTGACCCTCATCGTTGCACAGAGACGTCGTGTAGCCCGCGGGGTAAAATGAGGGCCACTGTTTTTTTTTTTTCAGACTTAAGGGTATACCCCTGTTCACGGAGAAGACCTGAATAGGGTGGGAACGTGCGTAATTGCATACTATATAGAAGCGGAGAAGAATTGGAGATGCAGAGATAAGGCCTTGCGGACGCAACGATGCACGCATTCCGGCGAGAATCCAGCGCCAGCCGAGCACTACTCCTCCTAGCTCGTCATCAATGATGATAAACACACGATAATCAGCACCTTGACCGTGAAGATGCAGCGATTGCATTCAGCGTGGCGAACGAGGTCGCAAGACCACAGCTTCGGAGCAACAAACTCGTGATCGAGGGGTCGCAAGGAACCATGTTTTTCAGTACTTGCACTGGGATGAACGATCGGCCTTCTCGCCTGGACGCAGAGGAAACAAATTTAGCCGCTTGCAAGAAAGGCCTTGAGATGATGTTCGTTCATTTTGAAACAAATGATAGCTGTGTTGATATGGAAGAAGACGGAACTCGGAGCGATTCGGTGGCGCCCGGCTGGGCACAGAGGTTGCTCGCCGCGGTCAGCCCCGTTACACGACGAATGACTAGCATCGATTTCTCATCAAAGCCATCACATTCATTCGAGAAAAATTACCAAACCAGCGGTTCATGTCGGTCTAAACGATACCACTAGGGGCTGGAGGATTGGATCCGCAGGTGGGCAGAACGGGGATGACGCACTCTGGCATGCGTTTTACCCTTGCCACCGTCAAACCTCCACCTGCATGACTCGCTTCACATACACATTGCTTGTGCGGCATAGTCCATCCAAAAGAATACTTGTTATTCAGGCTTGCGATCGGAATGTCACGTAGCGGTGCGAAAGGGAGGACCCGATCGGTTTTCCAGTGACATGATGCGCACCGGCAGTACCCTTTAGTTCTCTCCCGTTACCCTGGTCAAAATAGTCGCCAAGGAGGAAAGGCCTGAGGCATGTAAAATTCTCACAACACGCGGCGGGTTTGATCGTTCGCTGCATCCACGGAAAGACCCACCTTTTCTCCCTTGCTAGTCGAGGAGAGATATTTCCGTATTCTAAATCGGGGATGACGGCAAGTGCATCGAAGCAACGAGCGCCCGAGGAATACATGCCTAAGGCCTGTGAGAGAAGCCCACGTTGGTTATTGTAGCACAAGGGAAGCGACACGAGCAAGGTGTTCGAATACGCAGGATAGGGGGAACGTGGTGGGGAAAGAGAGACACGACGCGGAGTGAAAAATAGTCTTCTTAGGGCAGGGGGATTCCCATTTGACTTGTTATTGAGGTACCATGAATGGATAGAGTGGTTCTTCATCCGGCTTGGCTTGGCTGCGCGAGTTGTGATGGGTTGCCGATTGAGAGAAAAAGAAAGACGACGACGCACAAAGAATCACCGAGAAACACCGCGAAGTAGTCTCAGGTTTTGGCAGAAGTCGAAACGGAGAATACCGGCCGGGTGACCATCGCTTGTTCTGGTCAGCTGGATATACATGGGGAACGCGGGGAGGCCCTTCACGCATCGTGGTGGAAAACGCCCAAAGAGCATCTTTAGCTGTTGGAAAGCCCGACATGAAGACACCGAGAGCTGCAAGTTCAGACACGGAATGGCTTGCAAAAAAGGGGGTCCTATTCGATTCCAATTGCACACGAACAGGTTGTCACCGAGGCTGGGATCGTCATTTGGCCTTGTCATTTCCCATCTTTGGATACCTCAGTTACTATATTAGGAAAGGCAGCAACAGAAGAGGCAAGTTGGATGACACGGAAATCCGCGAGAGACGATTCGATGTTCTCTTTTGATCCGCGAGTGCGTGTGTCATGGTGGAAGCTGAGTGATTGGACGAAAATCGGACCGAACTGCCTCGTGTGGAAATCGGCATCAGGCACCCTCCGCCCCGCCTTCCACAGGCCTTAGGCCTGTTTACCGACGTTCTTCCACGGCCGATTACGTCGATCGTGTCATTGTCTCTAAATAAGCCCCTTCGACGTTCCCAGATGGACCCCGATTGCGTGAAGGGCAGAACATCACGCATCATTGGAAGAAAAAGGCAAAAAGAGGCTAGCTAATGCACATCCCATCGAATCACAAGCACGCTGCGTCTACACTGTACAGGTCATAGTCCGCTTTTTTTAATTGACGGAGGAGAGGGTCAGGTCAGGCGGCCGCGTTCGATTCCCTGTACAGTGCAGGCAATCAGTTGCACGGGACCTATCCGCCAGAAGCGGGTTTGCAAAAAATTCCATCATCACAGGTAGCCAGGGAACATGCTGGAAGAGAACCAAACGGAAGGTCCCCCCATGTCTTCAAATCAAACCGCCCTCGCTGCTGCCTCCGTTTCCTCTTCGGTGGCAAGAGGGGCCAAAAAGAAACACAAGCCGGTCGAACAGTACAGAACAATATATACCCCAATCTCTCACATCCTCCAACTTGTTCGCACGGAAGAACAGAACAAACCTACCCCTTCATCGGGTTAGACCACTCTCACGAAAAGGAAACCCAGGGGTGGGGGCACCTGATGTCGTCAACGAAGGAATGGCCTCGTCGTATCAACGGTACCAACGTCGGTTCTGGTGTGCTTCTGCGTGTTCGTAGGCTGAGTGCAAGAGGTGCCGCGTAGAATCTGATGGCCATCGCCGACGAAGCCGCACAAGGAAGGAGCGAGCCAAGAAGCACCATTGTGAAAAACACACCGCCTTGGGGGTGACATTACTTCAGCTAACCGCGGATATTTTCTACTCGTGGACAGCACCAACTTCGTTTGCCTTGCACCAGCTGATTTTGACTTGCAAAGCACCCTAAAAGGATATCCAATTTGTGCTTCTATTCCATCCATAAGACTTCCCTGATGCAGCGGTACTGTCACGGCATCATTTTGTTACCGGGCGTCTCCTCCAGGTGTGGCACTCTGCTTCACAACCCAGCTTTTACGTCCTCTAGAGCGCTCTGGATCGGTGGACCAAACTTGGGTCCAGATGCACCCGAGACGTCTCGAGTGGATCCTCCAGGAACATCGGCTCAACGAGCCATCGTGGGTTGATTTCCACATTGGATCTGGTTGCACGCCCGATGGTAGGTGTGCAGAACTGGCCCCTCAAGATGCTCTCGACACATGACCAGGGACGGCTCCACAAGCTCTCGCTTCTTGTGCAGACTGGTTCATTACGAGAAAGGGTCACTGTTGGAGCCAGATCCGGACGGCACTTTCAGCGGTGGCTCCGCAAGGGAAACTATTTCCCCGAAATGAAGGTGTTCTCAGGTACATCAGATGAGGAGACAATATTGTTCGTTAGAACGGGCTGCGTCCTTGGAGCAGTCGATCTTGGGGTCCAAGGGTCCGCCCATTCGGTCGTCGGAATCAAAGAACCCAAGCAGTGATAGTCGGTCTGGCGTTGTATGAGCGTTACATTTCCTGGCACCACATCCTCTCACCATGTCTTGGTACTTCCAATGCTTGGACCTGGCTTAGATCTGGCTAGTAAGCCTGTCACCTTCAAGAATCGCTTCCTGGTCTAGCAGCCCCTCACGCTGAGCTTGAAATCTCTCCAACAGTTTCGCTACCCCCAAATAATTCGGATACTCTCCACGTCGCTTCACATCACAGACCACCTCACGAAATAATCCCGAATGACAGCTCTATTCTAGGCGATGTCACATTTGGCCTTTGCAAGCGTGCCCAATGATTCGGGCAAACGCTGCCACCTATTTCGAACTGTGGAGCCTCTTCCGAACGCAGTCAACCACGAGTCGTGTTCCATGATGGCGGCCCAACCTTTGTCTCCAAAATTTCCTCGGTTACGATATAGTGTTCTTTGCCGGCGGGGCCTGTATCGCTGGATTTGCCGGGCTCCGCGCCATCTGATTCGTACTGACTTAGACATCCCTCGACGCTCTCCGCCTTCGCAGAATATTGCGCTTCGCGTCCTAAATGAAACCTCTGTTTCGATATCCCACATTCGAGGGCCGCTAACGAGCCTTTCGGACCAACGTCCCCAGCGCGAAGAAACATTGTTTACTAATCTTACATCTAATTTGTCTGCAAGACTTCTCTGTCGACAAGGTCCGATCCCCGAAACAACAAACTTTACCCACTTGAGTCACTTTCATGATGAGCATTTTTGGCACCGAAGGTCGTCCATAATGGAGCCCATCCGTTCTTCAACGCGTTCGTCACTTCACAATCTACATATGGAGCGAGGGACACTTATGCCAAGTGGAGTAATGCCTTGGATTTCCTCCTTCCCCGCTTTGAGTGCCGTCAATCAGAGCGGGCCGTCCCGCCTCAGTGATGGCAACAATCGTCAGCCACTTTGAGTTATGCTTCCTCCCTGCCTCAAAGTGGCATATGGTCATGTTACCTCCCTTGCCTGAGCGTTGGTTTCGCCTACTCTCCCTTGCTCGAACAGCTAAAGGCATCTTGCATCTGCCGCGTCCACCTCTGGCCCGTAGTAGGGTCAAGAGCTGGTTAAAGCGTAGGTTCTGGTTTTTGCCGAGCTGTAACCTACGGGGAGGCCTCTCGATCAAAGCTTTGTATTACTGGTTTGTGTCAAGCAAGCCATAATGGCTTGTTGACTCTCGCTACTTAAGACAAAGATGGTACAGCAAAGGGAGTTAGAGGCTTCAGAAATTCAACTGGACGAAGCAACGAATGGAGAATTTGATAGTACCTAAGGAAACTAAGCAGCAATTCCGCTGAAGACTGCGTCGCTTAGTGGTTAGAGCATCTCGTTGTGGTTTTCCCTCCGTTGCGGAGCAGCCCCGAGAAGACGGGTGTTCGATTCACCCCGCGGTCAATAGTTTTTTTTGCCCTCTGTTTTTCTCGCTGAAGGTGACCTCTTTCCCCCTCCGCCACAACGCGGAGAATCGGCGTTAGCGATAATCTTTGGGTCCGAACGCGCAGCTTTCCAGACGCAAGCGTAGCTGTGACCTTCATCTTTCCTCTCCCCCCCTTTTTTACATAATAAGACCGAATATTTGACACGAAGACATTCGTCCTCGCAGGTCGAGTACTATTACCTTATACCTCACTGTAGCACACAGCCGGTGTCCTTGGATTGGGCAGCACTGCCATCAGCCGATGAGTTTTCGAGTGAACTGTTTGTTCGCATGTTGAACATGCGCCCGTGTCGCGTCTCAATCTCTGACCAGCCTCCCCTTACCTTCTGCCCGTTCAAGCATCGACGGACTGCCATCAAACCCTAGCCCGCAACATTTCCTACACAAGTCGAGCACAATAAGTATAGTTGAATGGAAAGGAGAATGCATTGTTCGAATGGCCAGCCACAAAAACAATGGGAACTTCCTGGCCCTTTCTCTCCCAGAGAGTAAGTACCAAGTAGTAGACGATATACAAGAAAACTGAAGACACAGGGCCAATCCTGCAGGTATCTTGATCCTGACGCACTGCTTCGGACTGTCCGTGGGACGAGATGTAGAGGTGTTGTTGGTCTGGTGGCTCCCAAATCACTGACGCCCTGGAGGTTGCTGAGCACTTCAAGTCAGTCAGGTATCAGCAAAGCTTGCTTCGAGTTACTCACATTCCCTTCCTGGCCTTCACCCGCTGGATTTGGGTTCGGGTTTGCCACAGGCTGAACAGGGTGTGCCGGACGTCCACGAACCTCCTCGACGAAGTCATATCTTCCATTCGAATTCAGCTGACAACTTCTCGGGTTTGCAGACATCCTGCAAGGCAACTCACGGAATTTCGGGCTGGCTCTGCATGACTGCGTGGGTGGTGGACTGTAGAAGTGAGTACGGAGAGGTAAGGGTGAACTCGTTTCTATGCTGAGAGGGAGACGGTGACAGACTTGCAACGATAGAAATCTACAGCGGAAGGTCTGTACTATTATATAGCCCTGTGAGTCGTCGAGTGTTCCCTCACCTCAAATACAGCTCCTCCCCTCTAAACGTCAGGTTTTTGGTCCCGTGTACCAATCCAGCCACTGAACGCGCGGAACCACAAGCTGGGGCAGTGAACTTGGACGACCTCATTTCACGTTCAGGCTCCGCTTCTACGTTCCCGGACTTGGCTCTTCCCCACTCCTTCGGGGTTCCGCCAGACTGCAACCAGACTAGGATATGCCGCAGTCTCACTCTTTCCAACCAGGGTTTAACTATAGTCTGAATGCATTGTGAACTAGCCGTTTTTGTGTTGTTGCGACTATACAGTTCATCGCGTCGTGCATCCCGGGTGTCTGCGGCCCAAAAGGGCCCGGCCTGGGATTGTCGTGGTGTACTGACTGGACGCATCATCGCAGACAATCCTTGCCTCGATTATTCCTTTCAACAACACAGGTGCTAAGCGTGGCGACTCATTGGTCTCCCGTTCTAAAGGCGACGGGCAGTCCAACGCCGGACGAAGTCCCGTTTGAATCTTGACCGAGCTCCGTGCGTGCTGGATTCTGTGATTTCGCCCCACAAGGCTATAGTATCAATGCCTGCGTCCTTGGCACGAAGAGGAGATGATACTTTGTTGCCACCCAGGGGGTGCGGGGTGCCATCATGACCCCGGCTTATTGTTCTGTTCGCCCCCAATAACCCTCACCGAGAAACGATCGGAGCGTGTCCAAAGCATTGTCTTCCCTTCTTTATCGACTGTGGCTGGGTGAAGGCTGCACTTTGTTGCGTTTTGTGTCAATTGAGATAATACATTGGTTGATGGACATCTTTTGCTATCGTAGGAGCATCAAGCAGATGCCATCAGTTCATCCTAGTATGTGGCAATCATCTTGCGCGTGGGTGTGCGAGTATAACGCTGGCCGTTTCACATATCAGACGCGCGTTCGCTTACTTCAACAATATGCCCATGTCCTAGAGGCGAGTCCCAACCGCCCTTCAGTATATCACCTTGACCAAAACCTTTTCTTCCACCCCAATCTCGCTTAACCCATCAGGAAATATCATATTACCGTGATGGTAATTTGTTGGCAGGAGTGGAATTCACCAGGCGCTGAAACTGTCGCACACCTACCATGCATACCGTCGCATTTCCCCCACGATATGCAACACTCCTCACGCCCCGAGCTGCAAGATCAAGCTCCCATCAGGCTGCAATATCGCCCTAATGGCACTGTGTCGTCCCGTTGATCAAGTTCCGTAACGGCGTCCAGCAGCCTGATGGGGAAGAGGCAGGAATGGTAGGTGAAATTTCGACGGTAGTTACAAGCAACCCAGATGCTGCAGAGTGTCTTCCCCTTCGAAATATCCCCGATTCAGGACAGATACCCTTGTCGGGTCGCCCAGTCCCCAACCTGGTTCGTTTGGTCTCTTGAACTCACTTCATCCCTCCTTCTGAGACTTGCGCAAGTATTGGCCACGGCTACAGAACGTGCAGAAAATGACAGAATTGGGAATTCGACCGTCCTATGCAGCTTGGGCTCCGGCTCCGGCTCTGTTCCGTGCAGACTTTCGAACGACCACGGGTCTCATGAACGGCGAGCAACCTAAACTCCGCACCCACGAGTGCTTCTTAGCGATGGCCGACGTTTGACACCGCTCTTTAGTTGGACTGACGAAGTACCCACAAGTTGCGGCCAATCCAGAGGGTGGCCTCAGGCGAGAACCGCGAGAATATCTACCACGAGAGTCAATTCACGACATCAACCTTCAGGAAGGATGGCTGCCACTCGCTTTGCCTATGTCAAAACCTATGAGCTCCCGGATCCAATATTGCCAAATACCTATTTTGTAGTCCGCATCGACGGCCAGTCCTTCCATCGGTAAGATTGCCTCCAAGCTATCCTCGCTATGTAGCACATCACATGACAGGAGTATTTGGTTGGCGCTCTGCTCATAGGAGAACTTTAGAACTTGTTTTGCCATTTATCGTTTCTAGTCGACTCACCCGTAGCCTTCCCTTTCCCAGATTTTCCGACGCTCACGCTTTCGTCATCAGAGCACTGCAACTGATGGACAACGCTGCGGAAGATGTTATGAAAGCTCTCCCTGATGCAATGCTAGCATTCGGAGAGAGTGATGAGTGTAGGTGAGGGGTCCCAAAAGACAACGACGCGGCTTACGCTTGACTAATGAGATATCTCAGTTTCCTCTTCAGAAGGACTTCTACTATTTTCAATCGTCGAGAAAGGTAATCTACCATCTTGAAGCGAGTTTCGGGATGATTAACTGTGACAGGGAAGCAAGATTCTGAGCGCCGTGGTCTCGCAATTCACATCGTCCTACGTGTTTCATTGGTCGCAATACTTCCCTGATCAGATGCTGCTGTATCCCCCAACTTTTGATGGAAGAGTCGTTGTCTACCCTAGCGAGCAGGAGGTCAAAGACTACTTTGTTTGGAGGCAGGCCGATAGTAAGTGTGGTTTGGCGCCCTAGTGTCCGCGTGGTGCGGCTAACGTCCAGTTCATGCAGCCCATATCAACAACCTGTACAATACAGCATTTTGAGCGCTTGTGCAACAGGGAGGCATGTCGACATCAGAGGCACATCAAAAGTTGAAGGTATACCAGTCCCCTGCGCCTTTTCTCGCAACTGGGTCTAAAGACCTCGTACAGGGCACAGTGTCAGCAGATAAAAACGAGATTCTTTACTCTCAATTTGGTGTGAACTATAACTCTGTGGAAGCGAGATTTCGGAAAGGGAGCGTAGTCGTGAAAATTGAGGTACGTAGAACCAAGAGGTGCAGAGAGGAGGAGTTGTTTCGCTGAGGGAACGAGTTACCTTCGTGGCAGAAACCAATGGAAAAACCTCCTAAGGACTCTGTCTCATCGGCTCAGAGCGGCAATAACCCACTCGATCAAGTTGGACAGATATCATTGCCTCTTTGCCTGGGTTTCGATCGGTTTCATGGGCCTCTTGGCCTCACTCCATCCCTGCTTTTTAGTCTTGCGCAATTCTTGATCACGACCCAAGAAACCTGCAGCAAAGAATGAAGTCGGCCACATCGTGCGGCTTTGGAGTCCTGGTCTATACAGACTTTCAAATCGTCACGAGCCTCATGAACGACGGGCGACCTGATCCCGCAACTGCAAGGGCTTTTAGCTACACCCGCTGAGCAATACCGCTTTCCTGTTGGACTGATGAAGTGGTGGTGTGCGGTGATTTCTTTGTATTTAGACTGGTCTTAAGGACGCCAGGGTTATAGTCCCAACGAAAGCGGAGACTCGTTACACGAAGGTACTCTAACGTGAAACGAAGGGTAAAGGGGTAATGCTTTAACTAAAATCCTAAGGGGGAGGCACCAGGGCTCTTGGAGTGTTGTATTTGACGCGCCAAGTTGCCCATCGGTGATGGCAGAGGGAATTGGGTTCCGCGGGCAGAGGTTTGACGCTGAAAGTCATGGGAGGAGAGACCTCAGGAGGGGCCAAGGGCCACAAAACTTCATAGGCAGGTATGTCGCGAAGGCCCGAGAGCGGCTTGGGTCGTCAGAGGGAGCCAAACGTCTACGAAGCTTCGATGACCGACTCGCAGTTGTATTGCTCCCGTGTAGATAGCTCTTGATGGCGTTTCGAAGTGTTCTCTTGGTGTGAGAGAGTCTTCCTGGGCAAATCCGCCTGTGCTGATGAAGTACTCGCTCAACGACTGTGTTCGATTCACCCCGCGGTCAATAGGTTTTTTTTTCTTACACTCTTCTTGTTGCCCAGACCTCCCTCATACGCAGAGTAGGCAATGACTATATAAAATTTCGGGAGTAAGTTATAGCTTTTCTGGAAGATATCGTAGCCGAGTTTCATTCCGCTAAACTTATCAAAAGTCCCCTATTTTTCATCCAAAAATGAGAATATTTGACACAAAGAACTTCGACCCCACAAGTCTACACTTACATCATATCTCAATA